CAGCCTGGCCTCCCCCCTCAGCCTCTGACTGGCCTCCAAGAAGACTGTGTGGGGCTGGCTCTGGCTCTAGGGCCAAACCCTGGAGGCCACCTCATTGGCTAGCTCCTGGCCATGTCAATCATCAACCCGTGCCAGGGAGCTGGGCAGGAAGCCTGTTCTTTCACTTTGCAATGACCGTCATTGTCTGGGAGCTGGGAAAGGGCCTGGAACAGCCTTAAAGGCTGGCACAGGACCTGTGAGCAGTCCCTGTAGGTTTGAGTGTGTGACAGGGGGAGTGGATAGGGGTATGTGTTTCTCTCATAGGGGAAGGTGATTAAAAACCCTTCCTCCGAGATGGCTCCGGTCAGGACTGGGGAGATTGGAGTAACAATGACCTCCTGGGTAACAGAGTCCATGGCAGAGAGCCAGCTTTTGGCTTTAATATGTAACCCTTAATGAAGGAGGCAAATTGTATGACCTACCAAATTGCACAGAGCACCTGCCTGTATTAAAGCCTTTAGTGGATGCGTATCCTCATCCCAGTAATTCCACTTCAGGGAAGCTGTTCTAAAGAGAAGAGTCTGGAAGATCCTGGATGACAGCTTGGGTAAACACACTTAAACTGCTGCCGTGCACAACAATTTCAAAACTACAACTAAAAAACAAAACGTTTATCACCCAGAACCACAGGAAAGCTCGCTGAAAGGAAGCTCTACAACTAGACTGAAAGAGAAAAGAGAATTCAGGGCACAAGCACCGAAAAACTGAGGTTCGGGGATGCTAGGCTGGCAGCAGATCCTGGCCGGCGGAAGGCAGTGCTTCCTTCAACCGGAAGAGAGACAAGCTCCCGACCTCTCTGAATCCAGTTTCTGGGAGAAGCTGGACTGTCTGCCCTGAGGAGAGTGTAAGATGCCTCTGGGACAGCTTTAAGCGTACCAACACCCAGATTTTTGGGGTGCCAGAAGAGAGAGAGCAGGATATTGAAGGCCTATTGAAAGAAATAAAGACAGAAAACTTTCCCCACCTGGTGAAAGAAATAGACTTACAAGTCCAGGAAGTGCACAGAACCCCAAACAAGAGGAATCCAAAAAGGACCACACCAAGACACATCATAATTAAAATGTCAAGGGCAAAAGACAAAGAGAGAACATTAAAAGCAGCAAGAGAAAAACAGTTAGTTACCTACAAGGGAGTACCCATATGACTGTCAGCTGATTTTTCAACAGAAACTATGCAGGCCAGAAGGAAGTGGCAAGAAATATTCAAAGTGATGAATAGCAAGAACCTACAACCAAGATTACTCTAGCCAGCAAAGCTATCATTCAGAAATGAAGGTCAGATAAAGAGCTTTACAGACAAGCAAAAGCTAAAGGAATTCATTACCAAACCAGGATTACATGAAATGCTGAATGGTATTCTTTAAGAAGAGGAAGAAGAAAAAGGTAAAGGTGAAAACTATGAACAACAAAAAGACATCAAATACATAGCTACCAACAAGAGAATCTAAAAATCTGAAGAACAGAATGGACTGGTGAATATAATAGAATTAGGGACATAGAAAGGGAGTCAACTGACAATCCTCAAGGAGAAGGGGATCTGAGAGGTGCAGGAAGAGATTGGACAAAAACCTTACACCTATGGATGCAGACAGTGGCAGGGGGTAAGGGCATGGGGTGGGTGAGGAATCAGGTGGAGGGGAGCTTTGCGGGGGGAAAGAGGAACACCTGTAATAATCTGAATAAAGACTTATATTTAAAAATAAATAAATAAAATAGAACAGTCTGGCCAGCGTGACTAGTGGTTAGTGTTGACCTATGAATCAAAAGGTCACGTTGGATTCCTGGTCAGGACACACGCCCGCATTGTGGGCTCAATCTCCAATGTGGGGTATGGAGGAGGCAGCAGATCAATGATTCTTGCTCATCATTCATGTTTCTCTCTCTCTCTCCCCCTCCTTTCCTCTTTCTGAAATCAATAAAAATATATATTTTTAAAAATAAAGGAGAAACATGTATCAAGATTTACTTGCAAAGGGGAGGCAAAAATTTGAAAGCAACACCAATGTGTAATAATGGAACTGTGTAAGCGAAATGTTACACAGCGATAAAACGAGCGTGTTTGTGAGGGCCTGGGAAGAGGACACAGCAGCTGGGTATCACAGGCCCGACATTTAACCCTGACCGCCAGCATCTGGAGCTCTGGGGGGGGGGGGTGGCGGGGGGGCAGCCTCTCTCAGCTTCAGGGGAAACATGCCTTTATTTATGTAACTATACTGGAAGGACACAAAATCCACCTATTATTCCCAAAAACATTTAAACTGATTCAAATCACAAACCATTCCAGATTGTGGAATTTTGAAAGACATCTAGAGTACTCTTTAAAAAAATCTCAACATTATTATTTTTTAAAGAATTGTTCTAAAGGAGCCCAAGCACCATGGCACACACAATGCAGCCTGAGTGCCACAAGGACTGCAACCTACTTTCCAATAACATTTGCAATTGTTTTGCACACTTGAATTTCCTGAAGGAGACCTGGGAGACCACGTCTGGTTTTCCCGGTAAAAGCCCCTGGGGTTGTAATGAGGACCATGTGAGGTGGTGCGTTAAAGTGCTGAGCACAGAGCACGAGGGCTTCTGCACTTCATCAGGAGCGATGGTGAGAAAAATCACGACCACACTTCTCCCCGCTGTGAAGTTGGCCTGGCCGTGACTGGCTGTGGACATGGAACATGAGATAAGTTTTGAGTCCCTTCCCTGTGGGAGCTCAGGAACTGCCGGGTCAGCGTTCCTCCCAGCTGAGCAGTGACCCACAGGGCACAGGCTGAGATGAGGCCTTAGCTGGCCGGCTCCCAGAGCCATTTCAAGTCTTCCCGATGATTCCCGCTGCCTATACAGAGCGAGCAAGGAGCTTCTGTCATGTGAAGCCAGTGAACGTTAGGGATCGAAACTGCAGCCCAACCTAACCCAGAACTCCACAAACCACAGTCCTCAGTCTCCTGCCCATCCCTTATTTCCAATTTTACTGGAGAACAACCATGCTCATCCTTCATGTACTGTCAGTGGCTGTCCCTACACTACAGCAGGGAGAGCTGAGTAGATGCAACAGAGACCACTCGGCCTGAAGGCTGCAAATATTTACTATCTGCCCCTTCACAGAAAGGTTTGCCAACCCTAACCTAGTCTACCTTGACTGATACAATCCAAATGAAAAAAAAACAAAAACCCAAATCACTTATAAAACATGATTTTATATTAGTGGTAGGACCTTGGGCAAGTTAGCATAATCTCTTAGTGGCTGCGTGTAAAATGAGGGTTATAACAGCATCTATCCCAAAAGGTGTTATAAGCTACTGTATATAAAACACTAAGGCAGCCAAAACCGGTTTGGCTCAGTGGTAGAGCATTGGTCTGCGGACTGAAAGGTCCCACGTTTGATTCCGGTCAAGGGCATGTACCTTGGTTGCAGGCACATCCCCGGTAGGGGGTGTGCAGGAGGCGGCTGGTCGATGTTTCTCTCTCATCGACATTTCTGGCTCTCTATCTCTCTCTGTAAAAAATCAATAAAATATATTTAAAAAATAAAACAAACAAACAAAAAAACACTAAGGCCAAAACCTAGTACCTTTTAGACATCCAACAAATGTTTGCAAATTACTATTCCAATTATATAAAAATAAAATACATCTGAATAAAAAGACTAGAATAACAAATAACACTAACAGTGATTATCTTTGAAAATATTAACAGGTAGGATTAGATTTTCCCCCGTTATACCATCTGTTTCAAAATTTTCTATAATATAATGAATATATACACTGAGTGGCCAGATTATTATGATCAATGAATGCATAATAACCAGGCCACTCAGTGTATATCCTATATATTAAAAGGCTAATATGCAAATTGTCCCCTCGACCAGGAGTTCAACCAGCAGGCAGGCCAGCCAACCGTTTCCTCCCCCTGGCCAGGCTGGCCAGACACTACCCATGCCCGAATTCAAGCTCCAGGCCTCTAATATAAACACACACACACTGAGTGGCCATATTATTATATATTCAAAGATAATAATCTAGCTACTCAGTGTATAAACCCTATTTAACAAAACCCTAATATGCAAATCAACTGAATGGCAGAACCATCTGTGGAACCACCAGTCACTAAGATGTGCTCTGACCACCAGGGAACAGATGCTCAACGCAGGAGCTGCCCCGGGTTGGGGTCAGTAAGCAGGTAGCTCTAGGCTGCCAGCCAAGGCGGGTGACAGCAGGGGTACCCCATCGCTCTGCCCACTGGTCGCCTAACAGAGGGAGGTGACGGGTGGCAGTGGCAGGGGGCAGGGCTGGCCAGCAGGCAGTGCCAGGCTGCCAGCCAAGGCGGGTGCCAGTGGGATCCCCTGATCACCCCTCTGGTTGCCCCACAGATCGACCCTAATCATCAGCCAGGCCTAGGGACCCTACCCTATATATTGGGAACAGTCTCTTAGATTTAAAAATTAAAACCTGGCAAGGCTACTCTAACACTGAAAAAACAGGATGATGCAGCGATGACATGCATGGACTCTGGCTTGCACATTTTGTGGTCAGCCCTGATTCTGACACTTATAACTGTGTGACAAAGCCAATTACTTACCTTCTCTCTGCTTCAGTTTTTCCACCCAGAAGATGGGGGAAATGGTACTACTGCCTCAGGCTCATGTTATGTACCACTTTTTTTAAATAAAGGCAAATAAATGTAGCTGCACATACAACAGCAAGATGCCTTTCACCTGTATGAAAAGTATGGTCCCTGGTGCATGCAGCATCCTGGATTTTGCCAGGATGTCCGACTGCTGGTTTAGGCCCAATCCCCAGCAGTCAGACATCCCCCGAGGGGTCCCAGATTGTGAGAGGGCACAGGCTGAGCTAAGGAACAGCCCTCCCCCTCCCCACACAAATTTTGTGCGCCAGGCCTCTAGTATTATAAGAAAAGAAAAAGCGATGCTTTTTATAAATGCTGAACATTTTTAATGCTTCTGTCATTTCACAAAACATCTTTTGTTGACATTCTACAAATGACAGCATCCAATAATGTCCCAATCCTTTCTTCTTGTGAAGATAGTTTATATATCTATAAAAATAGAATACAAATTATGGTATGCTAATATATTCATGCACTAACTTTTATTACAGAAACGTGTAAGTGAATCATTCAATTATTGCGATAACAGTATGAAATTACAATGTGACTAAAATATGCAAAGTAGATGCATCACATATGTCAAAAGTGCCCTTTAAACTGCAATTGTGGTGGTAGCTCTCTAAACATAGAAACCAAATTTATACCAGTTTAAAGGCATACATCTACATACTAGCTTCATACTAAACTTATATTACAAATGTAATATAACTATGTAAGCTTGACATCTAAAGTTGTCTATTTTTTCTTAATTAGAAAATGCTTTTATCAACCAAGTTTCTAATTGTACTTTACACAAACCTGCCTCTTCCAATTCTTTGCATAATTTTTCAAGTAATTTTTAGTTATGTTAACCTTTCTTAAAAGTTCAAAAAAATGCCACGGTTGGGTGGCTGTTGGTCAGAGCATCGATTCCTGGTCAGGGCACATACCTAGGTTGTGGGTTCTATCCCCAGTTAGGGAGCATACGTGAGGCAAGCGATTGATGTTTCTCTCTCTCTCCCTTCCTTGGTCTAAAAAAAATCAATCAATCAATCAATCAATCAATCAATCAACATATCCTCATGTGAGGGTTAAAAAAAAAAGTTAAAAAAATAAAAACTATCACCTTCTACAAATGTGGGTTTACAAACCTTTTTGACTTCTGTAATATTTGTTATTTCAGGAAGATTTTCCAGGGAAACTTGCTGACCTTCTACCTTAGCTATTAGGTCTTCTTTATCTATTTGTTTTTCTCCATCTTCAATGCAAACAATTAGAACTGAAGTGTCATTTGCTGAGATACCGAATTTTTTCAAAGCCTCTGAAATCTGGGGGTGGGGGAAAAGGACAATAAAGCAATAGTTTCTATGTCTGAAGCACCTCACCATCTTTCTTCCTGCTCAGGGTATTTTGAGGGTTCTCTCCGCCTAGTTTTATCTTCAATAATCCCTTTCCAACATCCACCAGTTCTGCCTCTCTCTCCTTAAAGGGGCACCTCATCCTGTGGAATCAAGTTCAGATTTCCTCGAAAGGCACACAAATCACCCCTCCTCCAGCCCGTGACCCTCAGCCCTGCACTCCTGCCTCAGCCGGGCTGGCCTGTCTGGGGATCCCATCGTGACACACCTCACTGTCTGTATGTGCTCACTCTGTGTTCGGCCTGGAGTGCCTCCCCATCAAGGTCCAGTTCAAATGCCACCCCCTCCTGCACCCTCCTCCTCACAGAACAACTGTCCTTTGCTGTTCCCACAGACGTGAATTATTAGTCCACCGTGACATTTATCTTAGGGCATTTGTTCATCTGCCTTCCTCAGGAACATATCTGTTCCTTCTGTTCCTAGATGTCTATCGAATTGAATAGTTTCTTGAATTATTTCAAATGTTCTCAAAGAAACAATAATTACCTGGTAATTTTTTCCTCCAGATACTGGGAGATTCTATTTTCATGCATTTCATGAATATTTCAAACATCTGTATTTAAACCATACCACAGGTTTCCTAAGTTTTCTTTTGATGACATTAGTACCTGATTGTGTTTTGAATAGTCGTGGTAATACTACAACTTCATCAGCAAAATTTCAGCTATTTTTTATTTTCATGTGCCACAGGTGGAACATCTTTAGCTCAAAACTTTTGAGTTACGATCAGTATCTCAAACCACGAACTCTTCCTACACTGAGTGTGGGAATGAGCACGTGTTAAGGGCTGTTCTAGGTAGCAGGAAGGCTTCTCGTAGATGGAAAAGACATGGGTTCTATCCTGAAGGAGTTTACAGGAAGAATAAAAAATGCATACAAAACACACAAATATCCATGCCTACTGTTTTATCATTCAGATTCAGATGTCACTTAGAGAGATCTTCCTGATCCTATATAGATAAACTATGCTCACTTCATTTAGCAAAACTTCTGATTGCTCAATACCAAGTCCAAAGCTTATTTCTCTAGGAAAAGGCAGAGCTAAACTTCAACTCTCTGTCCAGACCTCTCTAGACCTCTTTTCACTACTCCTCTGGTTTGTTACTAACAACAGACTTACAGGAAGTTAGCCTCCAACTCAACACTGGGGAACACTCATATTGTCATGGCAAGGTGAGCAGAAATAAAGTTAAGTAAAATCCATATTAATTACATTGTTATTTGGGGACAGGTTGAAAATAATTTCAGTAGACAGAGTTCTCGTCTTCATTTTTCCTAGTTTGTAGAGATGAACTGCTTTGTTTGCTGCCACAAGTATCTGAAATGGATCGACAATCTACCAAAAAAACAAAGCAAAACCAAAAAGAATTACACACAGAGAATCTGGAGTACTCTGAAGACGCATGCTCTATCTCATGATAACTCCAAGGTCAGGCTGTTTTACTTCATCACAATCCCTATAAACTATATTTCCAAAATTGCTATCTCAAGGGCCTGGGTATTCAGAAAATCATAGAATTTTAAAGCTTCAATAAACTTAAATAGTAAAAAAAAATTAAAACTAACATTTATCAACGGCTAATATTATGGGAAAAAAGCCATATTCTAATCATTTTATACCTCTATTACTATTCTTTAATTCTAAAAACTACCCTATGAAATCGGTATTCTTATTCACCTGCAGTAGATGAAACAAAGAGGGCATCTCTGGGTTTGAATACCAGCTGTGTCACTTACCAGCGGGCAGATTCCTCAGCGTTGTGTTAGGTGGGGGTAATCACTGTATTTACTTCACAGAGTTGCTGTGAAGTGAGCCGTATAGGTAAAGCACTCGGTAGCGAAATGATGCCAGACCAGAGTAAACACTATATACAAGCTGGCTACCATCTGTGCAAAGACTAACCACTGGCAGAGCTGGGATGAAGTGGTCCCTCAGTGTGTGCGCGTCAGCGCGGCAGGATTTCGGGGGAGAAATGGAGATCCAGGCACCTGCCCTTATGAAGCCAGGCCCACCTTCCCACCTGCCAGTACAGGGCCTGAAGCTTCAGCTTCCATGCACTATCACACTCAATGTCCAAATCCGACTCCACTCCACAGTTTGGACAAGAACTTTTTACCCGAAGATGGCGATTTTAGGCTAACCTATTACATCACGAGAAAGTAACATATTCTTAAATGCCCATATGTCTCATTCATTCTCACTGGTACTTACCACTGTAGGGTTTATCAATGAACTATCAATAGCACCTTCCATGGCCTTTTTTCTCAAGTCTCCGGCATTTTTTACATCTTTAAATAACAGAAGGGTCACCCTGCATTCGGGAAATAGGTCCAGCTGATGCGTTAACTGCATTTCATTGGTAAGCAGGATTCTATTGCATAAAACCAAAAAAGACCAAAAGCCTCTTTTTTTTAGAAGTTAACATTATAATTCATAACAAACATCCTTGCTAATAAATTTAAAAACTTTAGTCATGATACAATTATTTAACTAGAAACTAGAAAAATCCACCCCAAAAGCACACTTGGCGTCCTCCTGGGATCTTATCTTCCTCCCTGGCTGAGCTGTCTGTGCTTTCCTTCACTTGGGGAAAGATCATGGCTGCTGCCCGAGGCCCTGGTGGTACCGGTGAGGAGGCTGAGGCAGGGCTGAGGGGCAGCTTCCCAGCAGCTGACTAGGAGCAGAACACCAGGAATTGTTTAGGCTGCAAATTACCTACAGTATTAACAATATGGATAGTGGGGAAGGGCATGTAATAAGGATAGAGCCACAGTTGTCTAATAATTGTTCACCTTGCTAACTATAGATAAGTTTTCTTACAGACACTGGGAAACTGGAGGATGAAACAAGCTGTAAAAAGATAAGGTGCCTCGATGGGTCCACAACTCAGAAAAGAAATACATTCTGAGAACAGACCAAGGACAGGACATGCTTCCATGTGGTTGCTGTGCCGGACCCTGACCCCCTCTGGGAGTTTTTCTCAGGAACGCTTATGTTCTCCAGTTCTCCAGCCCCAGGAACGGGCTGGGCTGTTTGTAACATCATAAAAGATTAGTCACCATGTTATTGGACTTTGAGCTCCTGAAGCCGGACAGCAGACTCTGCCCTCCCCTTTTTATGTTACACTTGCAGCTCACAGCCGCATGCAGCTAGCTATCTTCTCCCTTCGTGTATATAAACAGCCAGTTGGGGGGAGGGGGGAGAAGGGGAGGGTCAGAGTAGAATTTCCAGGGTGACTGACTGGTCTCCCCATACAGTCAGCTCCTAGAGAATTCAACCCTGTTTCTGCCTAATTTGGCTCAAATAGTGACAGGTGGCCTCAGACTCATGTGTCCGGTTTCAAAACCTCTCTTCTACACAGCCTTCATAAACTTTCTGATCTCGCCATTTTATTTGTATTTTAGCAAAACCTAGACACATATTAAGGGAGAAAGTAATTTTATAAATAAAAGTATGATACGACAATCATTTCAGACATGGAATATCAGCAGAGAAGGCACATTACTAAATGATCAGTAAATTGGCCCTTTCTTAGACAAAACAAGGAAAGGGTACCTACAAAGACATGAAAGAAACATAAGAGACAGCTTGAATAATGAGGAAGACATAACTAAAACCTTGGATGGAAAGATAAAGTCTTGCAAAAATTTGATCTTTAAAACAATTTCAATCAAAGCCTTAATTAGATCCTTAGGTGAGGCGAACTGATAGGTTCACGTTATCTCTCCACCGGGTGGGCTCCATTTTGGACATCTGAGAATTTATGTCATGGGAGGTCCCTCTCATTCCAACAGTAAAATGTTGAAACCTATTAGCTAGTAACAGAGGATTAGTGGTGACAAAACAACCATTAAAACATAAAGTCTTAAGAATAAAGACAAACTAGCAATAAAGAACATTAAATAAAAATCTGATTGGAAAACAAAATATAAAATTCAGCATAAATCATGGATTTTTATAAAAGATGCGCACACACAAATTTAAAGGAAAATACATCAAAAAGTTATCTTTAACTTGGTGGAATTACATCTAACTTAATACACCAAAAATGGCTTTCTTGGGTAGTTGGGTTATAATTTTCTAAACTATATTTTATTGTTTTTTTATAGAGAGGGAGAGGGATAGAGTTAGGAACATCCATGAGAGAGAAACATCAAATCAGCTGCCTCCTGCACTCTCCCCCCGCCCCCAAAACTGGGGATGTGCCCACAACCAAGGTACATGCCCTTGACCAGAATTGAACCTGGGACCCTTGAGTCTGCAGGCCGATGCTCTAACCACTGAGCAAACCGTTTAGGGCTATAGATAATTTTTTACTGTCCTGCATAAAAAATTTGTGTGTGTATGTTTTGAGTTTTCTAGAGAGCACACAAAATTAACTAAGTACATATAATCATGGAGGAAAACACTTTCTGTGGTTTGTTTTTACCTTAGAGGAAAAGGAACCCCTAGTACACATGAAAATTGTTTTGTTTTGAATTCTCTCAGGCCAGAAACTTAGAATCATAATACTTAAATAGCATATTTAATCCATAAAGTCTTGCCAATTTTACCTCTATTTAAAAAAAAAAAAAAATATATATATATATATATATATATATATATATATATATATATATATTATTGATTTCAGAGAGGGAGGAAGAGGGAGAGAAACATCCATGGTGAGCAGGCATCCTGTATGTACCCTGAAGGGAATCCGACCGGAACCTCCAGGCTCCGGACCACGCTCAGCCTCTCCATGTACCATCCTGACTTCATCAGTCTCCAAGAGAGGACGTGATCCCCGACACAGGCTGAATTTTATTTTATTATTTTTAAAAAACCGAAACAGGGGTTGTGATTTTATTTTCTTGCCCTAGCCGGTTTGGCTCAGTGGATTGAGCCTGGGCCTGAGGACTGAAGGGTCCCAGGTTCGATTCCGCTCAAGGGCACATGCCCGGCTTCCAGCCCGATCCCCAGCAGAGGGTGTGCGGGAGGCAGCTGGTCAATGATTCTCATCACCGATGTCTCTCCCTCCCTCTCCCTTCCTCCCTGAGATCAATAAAAAATATTCTCACCTGAGCATATGTTTACTTATTGATTTTAGAAAGAGAAAGCGGAAGGGATGGAATAGGAGAGGGAGAGCGAGAAAGCGCGCGAGAGAAGCGCCCATGGGCGCCTCCAGCACACGCCCCTCTTGGGGCTAGACCGCTGCTACAGCCAACGGCGCCGCCGGCCAGGCCCCTGACTCTCTTTTATTTTATTTTACTTTTCCATGTGACTCCTGGCTTCACTTTGGCCAGCCCACTGCTCTCCGCACCCGCCGCCGCCAGCCCACACCCCGCCGTCACCCTCAGCTGCGGCCTCCGGGGAATGGCGGCCCCACAACTCCTGCCCACCCCCCCCGCCCCATCTCCCACCCTCTACCGGCAACGGGCCCTTTCCACGTGAACCGAACCCGTCCTCCCGCCGCCCCGGGCCGGCCCCACTGCGGTCCCGGCGGCCAGACCCCGGGCCCGGACCTCTCCCTGCGCCGGGGGCCCGCGCTCCCTCCGCGGCCGCAGGGGCCTCCCCGCCCCGGCCCTGCCTCCCGCGCTCCGCCCCAGGGACAGGGGCCCGGACTCAGTCCTCCTCCCTTCAGCTCGCGGCTGGAGGCCGTTTACCAGTCCCCACAGCCGGGGACCATCACCCGAGCCCCCGCTCAGTCCCTGTCACACCTGACAGTGATGGAGCGTCGGGCACCCCAGGAGGTGCGCTCCCGAAAGGAGACCGAGTCCCTCACTTCCGGCGACGCCCCAGCGCCTGGCTCCCGGGGCGCAGGGAGCGCCGGGCGTCATCTCAGAAGCCCCGGTTCCGGCGGCCTCCGGCTCCCTCGCCGGCTACCCCCTGCCGGCCGCCTCCCCGCTGCCGGCCGCCTCCCCCCGCCGGCCACCTACCCCCCGCCGGCCCGGCCCGCTCCCGCCGCACGGACTCACCGCCGCCTCCGCGTCCGTCCCGGAAGACCGTCCCCGCCCTCCTCCGGCTGCTCCTGTCCGTTCCCCGCGGAAGGAAGGTTCCGGCCTGGGTCCCGCCGCCGCCCTCCCGCGGACCTTCCTCCCTAAAGCGGGGTCCGTAGCCGCCAAGGTCACTTCCGGCAAAGGGGGACCTGGAAGCGGCCGCGGGTCGGAAGCTGAGGTCCGGGTGCGAGTCTCAGCCGGGTCCCTAACCCCTGTGGGGTCCTGGGCGAGATGTCATCACTGCCTTCTTGTGCGAAGATGAGCACGTCCCGGCTGGTCCAGATCCAGCAGTTCTTTCCGCGGGCCAGCGGGACGCCGTTTCCTTCTGGCTCCGGGGGCGGCCATTTAGGGAGGCTCTAGGGTCCACGCTCCAGGTTTGCTTTGGAAAAGCAGAGAGCGTGACTACATTAATGAAATCATCCCTGAATGTATCAGCCTCCAAGAGAGGATGTAATCTCCTACACAGGCTGTCTTTTATTTTATTATTTTTTAAAAATTGAAACAGGGCCGGGACTGGTTTGGCTCAATGGATGGAGCGTCGGCTTGGGGACTGAGGGGCCCCGGGTTCGATTCAGATCAAGGGCATGTACCTTGGTTGCGGGCATATACCCAGTAGGGGGTGTGCAAGAGGCAGCTTATCAGTGATTCTCTCTCATTGATGTTTCTAACTCTCTTAACTCTCTCCCTTCCTCTCTGTACAAAAATCAATAAAATATATATATTTTTAAAAAAGATAAAATTGAAACAGGGGTAGTGATTTTCTTATCTTTTTTTTTTTTTTTTTAATCCTCACCGGAGGATATTTTTTTCATTGATTTTTTAGAGAGAGCGGGAGAGGGAAAGACAGAAATAACCATGTGTTTGGTTGCCTCTTGCAGGTGCCCTGACCAGGGGGCACAGGCAGAAGGAGTCTCCAACCGAAATAAATGCAGGTGCTCTTGACTGGAATCAAACCAGGACCCTTTCGGTCTGCAGACTGAGGCTCCATCCATTGAGCCAAACCGGCTAGGGCAACAGGCTGTATTTTACGTTTTTTTTGTTTTGTTTTGTGTGTGTGTGTGTGTGTGTGTGTATGTGTTAATGGTTGGAGCTCGTCTCATTCAGAACTATTCCTTACACAGGAAGACACGTAAACAATAAATATAGCTGCCCTATGCATATGTGCTATGCAGAAAAATTAGAAGGGTGGTGCCTCTTGGTTTTTTTTTTTTAATATATTTTTATTGATTTCAGAGAGGAAGGGAGAGGGAATGAGAGATAGAAACATCAATGATGAGAAAGAATCATTGATCGGCTGCCACCTGCATACTCCCTACTGGGGACCGAGCCCACAACCCCGGCCTGAGCCCTTGGCCACAAGGAACCCTTCAGCCCTAGGCTGATGCTCTATCCACTGAGCTAAAACAGCTAGGGTGGGGTGCTTCTATTAAATGCGATGTTTAAGAAATGTCTCACAAAAAGGGCCATTTGAACAGTAACTGGAGGAGGTCTGGAAGCAAGTTGTGAATCTGAGAGAGCACAGCAAAGGCAACAAAGAATTCAATGGCTCTAAGACACATAAGGCCTTACCCTATTTAAAAATACTAGTAATAAAGAGAACTGTGGAACTGTGGGAATATAGTTAATTGGAAAAAATGATTCTGACAAGTCTGGTATAAAGAACTCTTACAACTCAAAACTAATAAGCAGAACAACCTAACTAAGAATGGGTGACATTTAGTCCTAACAGTTTGGCTTGGTGGATAGAGCATTGGACTGTGGACTGAAGGGTCCCAGATTTGATTCCAGTCAAGGGCATGTACCTTGGTTGTGAGCACATCCCCAGTGAGAGGTGTGCAGGAGGCAAATGATCGATGTTTCTTTCTTATCGATGTTTCTAACTCTCTATCCCTCTCCCTTCCTCTCTGTAAAAAAAAAAATAAAAAAAAATCTAAAATATATTTTATTTTATTTATTTTTAAAAATATATATTTTATTGATTTTTTACAGAGAGGAAGAGAGAGGGATAGTTAGAAATATCGATGAGAGAGAATCATCAATCAGCTGCCTCTTGCACGCCTCCTACTGGGGATGTGCCCGCAACCAAGGTACATGCCCTTGCCCGGAATCGAACTCGGGACCTTTCAGTCCGCAGGCCGATGCTCTACCACTGAGCCAAACCGGTTCGGCAATAAAATATATTTTAAAAAATGGGTGACATGTAAACAGACACTTCACAAAAGATATATGCAAGATCAATAAACACATGAAAAGATGCTCAATATCTTAGCCACTAGGGAAATGCAAATTAAAAACACAATGAGATACTACTGTATACCTATATGATGACTAAGGTTTAAAGGACTGATAATATCAAGTGTTGTACAACATACAGAACATGGAACCCTCATATTGCTGGTCAGAATGTGACCACTTTAGAAAGAAATTTGGCAGTTTCTTTAAAATATATTTTCTGGATAATGAAAAGAAAGTAAATTCCACTGAATCTCCTATCTACCTACTCCAGGACTTCTGTGAGGATCAAATGAGATGAAGCACGGGAAAACGCTTCACAGACATTTGGTTACAGTGTGAAATGTTTGCACCTGGCTCTAAAGCAAGTTGTGTTCCTGGACTGAAGAAACTCCAAGCAGACCAATCATCGGGGGGACTAGTGAGGTGACAGGTGGGGGGCCTTGCTGGCATGAGCCTTGGCTGGCCTGGGACCGGTGGCCTGAGGGTAGCTCCTGTGTTGAGCCTCTGCTCCCTGGCAGTCAATGCACAACATACTGACTGGTTGTTTCACCATTTGGTCAGTTTGCATATTAGGCTTTTATTATATAAGATGGTTTGTTGCTCAGGAAAGGAAGTCGGGCATTACAACAGGACATCATTACCCAGTACCCACAGCCACCATTTCTTGGCTGGGCAGGGCTGTGGGCCACATTTTGCTCCATGGGGTCTTGGCAGCGTTGGCTGTGATTTGGTGGGATAAGGCTCTGGGGTGGTAGCGGGGCCTGTGTACCACTTGGGGGAAGCTGAGTGCTTTGTCGGTACCAGGTCCATGCTGCTATTTCTCTATAAATGGCCAGTGCGCGTCACAGTAGCTCCTGTGTTGAGTGTCTGTCCCCTGGTGGTCAGTGCACATCGTAGTGACCAGCGAATGGGCAGAGGGACATTCAGCATATTAGCATTATATATATATATATATATATATATATATATATATATATATATATATATATATAATTTACTTAGTGACTGCCTTTGGGGAGTTATCAGGTAAAACAGGGGTGGTGGCTGGGACTATTCTTCATGTAAACTTGGTAGAACTATTTGAATTTCAAACTACTCATATGTGTTTTTAATAAAAATAAATTTTAAAAGTTTAAATAGAACACTGAAGACCTTTTAAAAAGGGAGTTGCTAATGTTTTAGCCAGAAAACTTTCAATGGTGGGTGCAAGCAGAAGCCAGACCTACAGTATGGTGAAGAATAAGCAAATGGAGCCTAGATTTTAACAAGCCATGCTGATGACTGAAATAAAAGGGAAGAGGACAGAGGGAACAATAGGGTGAGGACAGCATTTTGAAGGTGGCAGTGTTTACATGATGGCACCTCTGCTGGCAATGTCCCCTGAGAAACTGCTTGCCAAGAACTCCTCAGAACTGTTAGACCAGCTGGATTCCCAGACCCGCTCCTACTTGCTCTTTGTTGCCTCACCAGCTGTCTTGCTCCTATTTCTTTCCAAGTGAGCCCCCGTGATGTATCCTGGGGAATTGTTCCCCAGCCTTTCAGCAGCCACAACTCTTGCATTTGTTAATGTGGCAGGCAAAGGAAAACTGTGAGCCGTCACTTAGATGAAGGGTAGCAACTTGACTGAGCTAATTTCCTTAAGGTCAGGTTCAACATGCTGTTCACATATAAAAGAGAGCAGATAAAACAACTCTCACATGCAGTGTAAGACATTCTGATACAATTTTGAAAGGAAGAGGCTTTAAGAAAGGAAGCCAAGTGGCTCAAGCTTCATCAACTATCCACCAAGGTATTTGTTGTCATGATGCTGAGACATCTTTTTTAAAATATATTTTTATTGATTGCAAAGATGAAGGAAGAGAGAGAGCGAGAGCGAGCGAGCGAGAGAGAGAGAGAGAGAGAGAGAGGGAAACAACAGTGATGACAGTGATGAGAGAATCATGGATCGGCTGCCTCCTGTATGCCCCTCACTGTAGATCGATCACGCAACCCGGGCATGTGCCTGTGGCTGGAATCAAACCTGGAACCCTTCAGTCCACAGGCTGATGCTCTATCCCCACTGAGCCAAACCAGCTAGGGCGAGACATCTTCTTAAGCAAACAAAGGTTGTCGGTTTCCTCTGCAACTAAAAATAATTAACACCTCCACGTGATCCATCTATGTGTCCTAGAGGTATAGCAGCGAAAGAGAAAACTTAGAACGCATCAAGGTCAAGGCACTACTGCACTGGGCGAGGTAAGTGGAGAGATCCCAGCAGTTACATTCAATAGAGAAGCAAAAATGCAAGGAACCACGCAAGTCTTTACAGATATCCCAGACTTTGTGTTGTACACTCTTCTGTTCTCCGAGCAACCTTTATAGTCTACGAAAGCTTTCATGTTTTCTGAGAAGTTCTACCCAGTTGGTAACAATTACAAAGGTTGGTAAATTACCCAGCATTCTGGTTTATCAGGCTCTTGTCCATTGACAATCAATCCCTAAATGTTTATCCACTCCTGTGTTAGATGGCATACCTGACAATTGAGTGAAAGGAAGTTGGTCAAATCCCGCAAGGGATTCCCAAAGAAGGGAAATGCCTAATCACAAAAACAACACTAATTACTAATAGTGATTAGGTTTCAAAGAGATTGTCTCCTAGCTAATTTTAATAGAAATTTTGAACAGTTAGGGATAAGAACAAAAACAAAAAAATAAATACCATTAATGATTGATCAATAGAAAATGACTACAAATTTTTGTATACACACATTCATAACACAAATTTAGTCAAAAGAAAATGCACAGAAAAGATAGAATCCTTAAAAACTATGTACAGTGGATGTTCTTTATTACTTGATCAGTTCTAAAATAACATGTTATTTTGAAAATATTAAGACTTGAACAGATTATTTCCTTTAGTATTGCAAATACTGCAAAATTAACAGCAAAGAGTTAAGTATTAATATAATTTTGTCTTATGTTTGAACTTAAGGTAGAAAAAAATAGATTATAAACCCCATTTGACCTGATTGTATAAAAGTCACTTCAACTGTCTTCAGTCCTGCTGCCTCCAGACAGATTTCCAGGACAGTGTGCGTCATTGGGTCCATCCATAGTAGGCTGGGTAGGGTAGTCCATAGTAACTGCCAGGATACCACCTCTGGTTCTGGGCTAGGTGACTGGCGTTTGGCTGTACATTCCAAGAGTAGCTTCCTTGTGAATAGTCCTCTCCGGGGGGGCCAGAAGGAGGAGGGATATGGCCTCTCTGGTAAACGTTCTGATTCTGTGGAAATTTTCTTAAACAAACAAAACATAATAATCTATTAGTTTTAATAAACTATATAATGAGCTTTGTAAAATAATACACAGATCTACTGTTTTCTACATGTGTGACCTTGGCAAATAAACTGCTTAATCTTTGGGTTTTCAGTTCTTTAAGAAATTCATCTTTATGAGTTATTCTGAAGGTACATTAAAAGCAATGCAGTTACGTTACCTACCATAAGGTCTCTGTGCACAACAGATTCCCAGGAGCTTTTCCACCTTTTACTACAGAGTAAATGTCTGCACTATTCTAATCAGACACTTTTTTTCCAAGACTGGCAGGTTGGCATGAGACAGAACGAGCTATTTACTTCTGAAAACAAAAGCTGCTTTCACTTTATAAAGAAATATATAAATCAATTATAAAGCATAGAAATTTTAACCATGGTACATGCAACAAATTTAGAAAGATTTAAATATAATTGTCTCAAAAGTAAGATCAGTAAATCTAATGTAATCATACAAAAGAAATTTAAAATCTGAGAGAAGAAAAATAATGTTCTCATGCCCCCTAACTCTCAATCCTACCTAACCTAGTTAGACTGGTGAATATGTCCTTTTTGTCTTTTTTTTACTGTTAAATCATAACCTATTATTTTTTTCTTAGCATAAGTGAGCTAACACCCCTCATGGCTTTATAAAATGTCACGGTATGGACAAAATTTACCCAGCTATTCTTCACTCTTAGAAATGTAAAGTGTTACTACTTTTTCACCATGGTAAATAACTTTGGGTTCAACATCTCAGAACATTTACTGCTGTATCCTGAGTACCTAGATGTATCTGATATGTAGTAGGGAAGTTTGAGAAATGTGCTGAATGATTAAAAGCATGTAACTTTTTCCATATTTTGAAGTATTTCCTTAGTTTCAATGTGGAATTACCAGGTATGAGCATTTTTTACAGTGATCAAGTTGTGTTTCAAAAGGACTGTACCAATTTTCAGTGCCATTGGCAACACAAGCAACATTTTAAATGTGCTGTGTTTTTAAAACTTATTTTTAGAGAGGGAGGGAGAGAGATAGACAGACAGAGAATAACAGTGATCGATTGCCCCCTGCACACATCCAGACTGGGGTTCAATCCTACAACCTGGGCATACGCTTCTGACTGGGAATTGAACTGACGACCTTTTGGTGCATCCAATGACGCTCCAAAAATGCTAACATCTTCTTAAAAGTTTTTATAATGTGCTAAAGTACATTTCAGTTCATGCAATGGTCAACAAAATCCCTCTGAGGTAGGTATTCTTAAAATCTACATTTAATTAATAAGTAAAGAGAAATCTGGAAATCTTAACCGAGATTACACAGCGAGTGAAGGCAAAGCCAGGATGCAAATCCAGGTCAGCCTGACAACCACTACCCCGGACAGCTTTATAAAACACTGTTGCTATATTAATAGGTAAAGAATAGAACCTTGCTATTTTAATTGTCCTAAGGTTTTTTCCTATTTCCCAAGTCAAAATACTGGTATGTTTGTGATTTATCTGTTCAATTTTTTTTGCAAATTTCTCTACTGGAATTTTTACTATATTTTTCCTATAATTTGTACTTAATGTAGCCAAAGAATTCAAGATCCTTTCTGGTAGTGACATCTGGTAGTGAGATCAAATTGATGGCTTAAACTAACGTTAAAAACAATGAAAATTTCTAAGTCCCTTTCCCAAATGTCTCTAAAAAGTCACATATTTCCCATACAATACTTCAATTTTCAGTTTTAAATGCAAAATATGAAGAAAAGAAACCTCATGGTTGACCCTGTTCTGCAAGAAAATGCCAATTCCTCACCATTATCATATATAATATGATATATTATATATGATAATGGTGAGGCCCAGTGCACATGCAGCGGTAGGGTCCCTCAGTCTGGCCTGTGGGCAACGAGTTGAAAATGGCCCGGTTCATCCGGGGCGTGTCCAGCCCATCTTGCCCAGTCCCAATCGGGGCCAGTCGGCCAGGGAGGGACCGAGGAAGGACTCCAGGGTGTGTCCAGCCCATCTCACCCAATCCTGATTGACCAGACCCCAGCAGCAAACTAACATACTGGTTGGAGTGTTTGCTCTAGTGGTCAGTACACGTCACAGTGACTGGTCAGTCGAATGCATAACGGGACACTTAGCATATTAGGCTTTTAATATCATAATAACTAGAGGCCTGGTGCACACAGCCTGGCCTGTGGGGATCAGGCCAAAACCTGCAGTCCAATATTCCGAGGGTCTCAGATTGCGAGAAGGTGCAGGCCAGGCCGAGGGACCCCACTGGTGCATGAATCTGTGCACTTAACCACTAGTATGCATATAAAATCTTTGGTTAATCTCTTCGCACTCTCCCTCTTCCCCTCTGAGATTCATCAGTCTGTTTCATGCTTGGGCGTTGAGTGTCTGCCCCCTGGTGGTCAGTGAGTGTCATAGCTAGTCAGTCAAATGGTTGCTTAGGCTTTCATATATATATATAGAAAGAGAGAGAGAGAGAGAGATGTTTGCACTAATTTATAATACTATTCACTTCTCTTTTTTAAAATATATTTTTATTAATTTCAGAGAGGAAGGAAGAGGGAGAGAGAGATAGAAACATCAATGAGAGAGGATCATTGATTGGCTGCCTCCTGCATGCTCCCCAATGGGGATCGAGTCTGCAACCTGGGCATGTGCCCTTGACCAGAATCGAACCTGGGACCCTTTAGTCCACAGGTCAATATTCTATCCACTGAGCCAAACTGGCCATGGCAATACTATTCACTTCTATGTCAATTCTGGAAAAAGGGAAAGCAAACATACCTTACTGATTGCTGTAAATCTTGGGTCTGGGTGTGGAAATGGCGAGAAGGTGTTGGGTAACCTTGGGTCCAATGCATGTTATTCCTAGGTCCTTGATGAACAGCATTATTAGTGGTGTGGGTTGGTTCCATCATATATGGTGAATATTCAAAACCACTTGATCTGGATACACGGGAATTCCGATCCCTCAAAGAGAATTTTTTTAACATATATCACTACCTTCCAAATGTAGTGGCCAATGTAGTGTCTACTAGAATTTGTGCATGGGTGGGGTTCCATGGGGTGGCCTGTAGAGCTTAGACCTCAGCTTGCACCCCAAGCTTCGCAGCCCCGGCTCACACCCCCAGCCTCACAGCCCTACCTGGCACCCTGACTTGGCCAGGCACTGCCCCCTCACATGCTCCACCATCCCACCTACGGGGTGATCAATCGAGGACAGGCCCCTCCTCACCCCAGCTCCCTCAGCACCTGGGAGCTGGGCGATGGCCCTGCCCCCCGCCCCCACCGCTGTTTGCTGTCTGCGGGGTGATCGGCTGGACAATCGGGCCCCCGCTCACACCCATCTTAGCCTTGAGTATCTGCCCCCTGGTGGCTCAACTGCTCCACCATCCCACTGCGGTCCTGCTCTTGTCAGAACCCATAGGGGTCGGCAGCGCCTGCACTGTCACCCACTGCCAGCGCTGTGTTGCTGATGCCTGCCATGTCCATACCACCCCTTGGTGGTCAGCGCACATCATAGCGAGTGGCTGATCTCCTAGTCGACGACCACCAGATGGAACAATTTAAAAAAAAAAAATAAATCTTTATTGTTCAGAATATTACAAATGTTCCTCTTTCCCTCCCCACCAAATACTCCCCTCCACCAGGTTCCCACCCCACCCTCTGCCCTTTCTCTACCCCCCATTGTCCTCATCAATAGGTACACAGTTTTTGTTCAGGCTCTTCCCGCACCCCCACTCCTCTTTTCCCTGAGAATCTTCAGTCTACTCCCCTTCCATACCTCTGATTCTATTACCGTATTTTCCGGGGTATAAGACGACTTTTGAAACAAAAAAAAGTCAACCGAAAATCGGGGCAAAAGACCAAAATTGCACAAAAATTACCTGCAGATCTTGATGGCAAAGTAAGTCTTTTCTTTGAAGTGGGGGGTAGTCTTATACAGTGAATATGGCCTAAACCTATGTTTTATCTGTAAAATTAGGGGGTCGTCTTATACGCCGGAAAATACAGTATGGTATATTCACCAGTTAATATTGTTCATCAGGTTTTTTATTTCCCTTGGCTTTTAGCTTCACTTGTTGATAGTTACGTATTTGTTGATCATAATTTTTATCTTTATCTTCTTCTTCTTCCTAAAGAACCCCTTTCAGCAATTCATATAATTCTGGTTTGGTGGTGATGAATTCCTTTAGCTTTTGCTTGTCTGTAAAGCTCTTTATCTGGCCTTCGATTCTGAGTGATAGCTTTGCTGGGTAGAGAATTTTTGGCTGTAGGTTCTTGCTATTCATCACCTTGAATATTTCTTGCCATTACCCTCTGGCTTGCATATTTTCTGTTGAGAAATCAGCTGACAATCGTATGGGTGCTCCTTTTTAAGTAACTACCTGCTTTTCTCTTGCTGCTTTTAATGTTCTCTTTGTCTTTTGCTCTTGGAATTTTAATTATGATGTAGTTGGTGTGGTCCTCTTTGGATTCCTTTTGTTTGGGGTTCTGTGTGCTTCCTGGACTTGTAAGTCTATTTCTTTCACGAGGTGGGGGAAGTTTTCTTTCACTGTTTCTTCCAGTATTCTTTTGGTATCTTGCTCTCTCTCTTCTTCTGGAACCCCCACAATTCTGATGTTGGTTCATTTGAAATTGTCTGAGGTTTCTTACACTATCTTAAACTTTCTGGATTCTCTTATTTTCTTGCTTCTGCAGAGGAGTGTCCTTTGGCTCTTTGTGTTCCAAATCTTTGACTTGATTCTTGCAATCTTCCATTCTGTTTTTAGGACTCTGTATATTTTTTATTTCAGACAATGTATTCTTTATTTCTAGTTGATCCTGTTTCATATCCTCATAGGTCTCGTTTATTTTATTGGCCTTTTCTAGGAAATTCTTGAAAAACCTTCTAAGCGTGGTTTTGAACTCTATATCCAGTCGCTTCTTGTCCTCCGTTTGTTTGTGATCTGTTTCCTTGTTTCGGCATTTTCACAGCTTCCCTGAGTTGGTAGGGTGGCTTTGTGTGCTAAGGTGTCCTATATGGTTGAGTGGGTCAGCCTCCCAGTTACCTGAGGTGGACAGTCTTGGTGTAGCCCTTTGTGGGCTGTGTGTGCAGTCTTGTTGTTAAACCTTGCTTATTGTTGGCATCACTGGGAAGTGTTGATGTCCAAGCCAATTGGCTATGAGGATCAGAAGTGCCTCAGCTAGGAGGGTTTCTGTATTCTGCTTGGATGGGGCGGAGTCTTGGGGTGGCACAGCCAAGCCTTGGTGAATCCTGCAAGATTGGTTGCAGGTGTGAGCACCTCTTTGGTATAGGTGCACTCAAGCTTTGGATTCCTATCTGTCCCTCCCTAGGAGAGTCCTATTCATGGTGAACGAGAAAACTAGCCACTGGAAGGGCTTCTGTGCTCCGCTGGATAGGGCAGAGTCTCGGGGTGGTGTAGACAAGCTTTATTCAGCCCCTCCCTATGAGGGTCTGATTTCTGAGTCCCGCAGTAATGGCTGCTGGCTTCACATACCTCCAAGAGATCTCTGCCCACTGCCTGACAGTCTGGCCTCTCCCTGTCTGGGGCCATCTATCAGAGCCATAGGGTAGTTCTGTTTTCCTCCCGAACAAGAAAGCTAGCCACGCATTAGCTGTCCGCCCTCTCCGCGCGCAGGGAGTAAGCCAGTAGCGAACTCGGCCTGCTCTCTCAGTGCTCCCCAAGCAAGCCAGCAACCAAGTCTGGCGACCGCCTTTTCGCACACGCAGTTGACTGCACCTTCACAGTTCCTGAGGTTCAGCATGCCTTCTCTCTACTTCCCAGATGGTAGAGCCTCCTCTCAGCTAGCCGTCCAGCACTTCAGGCCGATGTTTCCCCTGTCTTCCAGTTCTAAATTCAAATTTGTTGTGGTAGGCTGCATTCAGATGTCTACCCTATGCCACCATCTTGGTTTCTCCTCCGGGAACAATTTTCTTATTGGGTTTTTATTATATAGGATAGGAGGAGGAAATTTTGGCCCATGAAAGTAACCATCCCATCCTCACCCCATTCCTATTTGTTTAGGTTTCCCTGATAAAGTAAACAAGCTACAAGAAGAATGGGTATGTGCAACGTAATGACATAAAAACAAATCTCCCTAAACTCACACGTAAAATGCAACTCACCTTCTGATGGAACCATTCTGAAGGTCTTCAATGTAGTTTTGTCTTTCTATGCAATGCCCCCGGCACCTATTGAATACTTAGGAGTGGAAGAAATGTTAGAAATCATTGTACAAAAAGCAATTTTTTTCCAGAGAAAACAAATCAGAGCTGAAATTCATTGACTAATTATTTATTCAGGCTGTTATACCGCATTATTTTCAAATACATCCCTGTATAAACTCTGGCAAAAGATTATCTTATGTCAAAACAAATGAATTACTAACTTTTCTTTTTCCAAAATTTAATTCATCTACATTCTCACCTTCAACTTTTATAAAAAGAGGAAAACAGTGATAACCTTCATACTTACATTCAATTGCATCATCTGGCCTCATGCCTTCTACATCAATCAAATACCTAACAAAACAACATAATTTGAGTCATCTATATATAAAAATTTAAAAATCAAGTTTTTTCAGAAAAAATCCAATTTCACTTACAAAAATAGATATAAAAATCCTAAGAAAATATCAGCACATCTAATCCAATAATTACTAAAGGGTAATATACTACCCTGCTTCCCCGAAAATAAAACAGTGTCTTATATTAATTTTTGCTCCCAAAGATGTGCTAGGTCTTATTTTCAGGGGATGCCTTATTTTTCCATGAAGAAGAATACAGTACACATTTATTGTTAAATGAAAATAAAGGAAATTTATTACCTGTATACGGTACGGTAGTACGGTAGCTGTCAACACAAACCAGACAAACTGTGAATCCTACAGTATCAAGAATTTACTCATTTATTCAATGACAATCATGTCATCATCTTCTGGAACATCATCATAACAATCCAATTCCTGAATTTCCTGGTGAATTTCTTGTGACTCCATTTCTTTCAGAATCAGTGTACCAAATTTCTCATATTTAGCAATAGCACTGTCTTTAAATGAGTACTTCTTGTCAAGGTAGACTGCTCGCAGTGCATTTACAATGCAACTGTCAGTGATTTTCTCCCATGAATTCTTCACCCAAGTCACAACTTCTTGCAGTTTAGGTTTCACAAAGTTTCCACGCTGTTTTCTCTCCATTCTATTTTCAATGTAGTCATTAATTTCCATGCGCAAATTGTCTTTGAATGGCTTGTTTATTGCAATATCAAGAGTGTGGAGATAGGCCGTCATTCCTGCGGGAATCATTATCTGACCTATTTTTCTTTCGTGAAGAAATGTCTTCATGTCTTTAGCGTGGTGAGTGCTGGCTGCATCGCAGACTAGCAGACCTCTTTGGCTCCCTCGCATAACAAGCGGCAGCATTAAAGTGCTTGTGTGGCCCAGGCTTTTCAGTTTCAAGAATAAAAATGTCCAAAACACGTTCAATCTTTTCCTTCTTGCCCTTAGAAATGATTAAAGGTGGGGTTTTAGTGCCATCCAGACGAATTGCCAAAATACAGGAAACACATGCACTTTCGTAAGCAGTGGAGGGAATGCACACTAAGGATGCACCCCGCTGTTCAATTGTTGTTTGAGATGATTGGCCCATAAACACTGCAGTTTCATCCATAGCAATCATGTTGGAAAGATTGTATTTAGAGAAGTCAGCATCATCAATAAAGGACTTGAATGCAAGTGCTCGCTTAATAACTTGAGTATCTTCCAACCTAAACAATGTAGTAAATCTTCTTAAAGAAGTTCACTTTGCTGAAGGAAATTATCCAGCCAGTGTTGTGATGTTTTGAAGTCTTCGGGGGCTATGTCAAACTGTGGTTCCATTGCAAGGGCAAATTCTTGAATCTGAGCCCTATTCACAACCAAAGCCTCTGCTCTCTTGTCAATAACCCATTCATAGATCAGGTCTTCCAGCTCGGAAAATAATGGTTGCAGACCTGATCCACACTTGTGCTTTTTAGCATTTCCCTTGTCCACTTGTTCAATAAGGTTACCATACTCTAGTGCTCGCCATTTTCAGACTAATCGGATACTCAACATCTTCTCTTTGCAGAAAGCAGTAAGATTTTGGCCCCAAGAGTCTTCCATGATTCCTTTCTTGTACTCCACAGAGTAGCTTTTTTCTTTTTGCACTCATTTCTAGGGGTAAAAAAAAGGAATTGGGGTATCAAGGTGGGGGGAGGGGGATCACTTAAAATGACACAGGGGGAATCAGAGAGGGGAATCAAAATGGCACAGGAGAATCAGAGGGGGAATTACCATTTTAATAACCCGTTTTGATGCTCCTGTGTCATTTTGATTGCCCCCTCTGATCCTCCTATGTCATTTTAAGTGATCCCCCTCCCCCCATCCCTGTGAACACCTTCACCAGACATCCTTCCTACCCCTTTATCAGACATTTACCCCCTGGGGCCTGCCTGGGGCTGTCACTGGGCTTGCTGGAGCCTGGATCTGGGCTGGAGCAGGGTCTCCACTGACTGAGAACCTTTAGTCATTATGAGGGCGGCCGCAAGCATCAGGTAGTGTCACCAGAGACAGACCAGCACTCACCACCTTTGCCACATCCCATCCGCTCTAATCCTCCTGTTCTTCTACACGCATCTTCGAAAGTCTCCTCCTCTCTCCCACCCCTCGCTCACCGCTCACTCCGACCTCCGCTCCGCCTCCACACAGCAGTGACGTCAGGACTTGGCATAATACCACTGGTTGCTAGATGCCAGTCGGGGCAGCCCTAGCGACCAGTTTATGGTAAATTAATTTTCATTCTGAGACAGAGCCTAGGGTGGGCCTTATTTTTGGGGGATGCCTTATATTTCACTCAGAAGGAAACCTATAAATAGGTCTTATTTTCGGAGGATGTTTTATTTTCGGGGAAACACGGTATGATCACAAAAAGGCTTTATTCTAAGGATGTAGAAATGAGCCAATTAACCAACAGCCAAAGACAAATTGGGGGAAAAATTAATATCATATCTAAAACGTATGGTCTAAAAAATATTATTTAATGAATTATATGGGCCAGAAACTTAGAAGTCACCATCACTGCCAGCCATTTCTTCCTTATCCTCATTTTCAACCCACCACCAATCCAAACAATCTATCACTGCTTTCTCTAGAATATGTCCACATCTCTCCACCAAAATGACCACCACACCCTGGGTGAGGCCACCATTATGCCTCAATTTCTACAAAAGCCTCCTAATGTGCCTACTTGCTTCCATGCTTGTGCCCCTTACTGTATTCTGCACTCAATACCAAAATAGGCTGAAAAGGCAAATTAATTATGTTCTACACTAACTCACCCTCCTCAAAGAAGAGAGTTCAATGATTTTCTATTTTTTTTTTACGATAAAGTCTAAAATCTTAAACATAGGTCTGCACTATCTAGGTCCTACCTATTCTAGTCTATTTTATTTATTTATTTATTTATTTATTAGAAAGGTTTTATTTATTTATTTTTATTGATTTTTTACAGAGAGGAAGGAAGAGAAAGGGATAGACAGAAACATCGATGAGAGAGAATCATTGATCAGCTGCCTCTTGCACACCCCCTACTGGGGATGTGCCGCAACCAAGGTACATGCCCTTGACCGGAATCGAACCTGGGACCTTTCAGTCCGCAGGCTGATGCTCTATCCACTGAGCCAAACCGGTTTCAGCTATTCTAGTTTATTTTAATGCCATGCTTCCTCCATGGCCCAGTCTCCCTGGTCAGTTCCTCCAACACAGCATATGCTTTCCTGTTAAGGGTCTTTACTTTTCCTCATGCATAAAACTTCTCCCCAGTGTGCCTGTCTTATTAATATAATACCTACTATTCCTTCAGATATTAGATCAAACCTCACAATAAATCCTTCTTTAACCTCCATGTTGAGGTCAAATTCTCCTATTAATATGCTCTTTTAATATCCATGTCCCTCTCCTTCTTGGCACTTGCATTATTTGTAATTCTATATGCATAGGTGTGATTCTTGAATAGCTTATTCCCTCTCTAGACTGTTAGGATCCACAAAGGGCAAGTCAAGTCTCTTTGCTCACAAAGTCTCACAAGTCTTTTTGCTAGCACCCAACACCGTGCTTACATATAACAGATGCTCCATAATTATTTTCTGAATGAATACAAATCAATACACTGCAACAACATTGGGGGGGGGGGGGAAGCATAATAAACTTTTTGATTCAGAAATTCCATTCTGAGTGAAATTATCTGAGACAACAATATATATATATATATATATATATATACACACACACACACACACACACACACACACACACACATATACATATACACACATATATAAATTCAAAGATGTTCATAGAAAAATGTTCATTATTTTAATGTTTTATAGTATGAAAATCTTCTAATTCTTATGTTCATCAGTAATCAAAGGAACAACGTAGCCATAAAAAAAAAATACTCATAGGAGTATGTCCACCATATATTAAATTATAAAACAGAATGTCTACATATAATAATATTAAATTATATGTATATGCTTAGATTTGCATTTTAAAAATCTGAAAACGTATGTACTAACTTAATGGTGGTAATCTCTGGGTGGGGGACAAGCTTGCTTTCTACATCATACATTTCTATACGGATTGCATTTTTGCAAATAATTTACATTATTTAAATGAAACAACTTAGCCATGATCTGCCTCTTAGGGTAGGCAACTCACCTGCAGATGAGGTAGCCAGTCCTGTTTAAACCATGGGTACAGTGGACACCAATAAGTCTGTCTATAAAACAGGGAATGTAGTGTTAAATAAATGAAGTATCCTAGAAACAAATTATACAATTTTCTGAAGAGTAACATTTATAAGTTACCACAACCCTACCACTACCTGAAAATAAATGACTCTGAAATGTTTTTTTTTTGTTGTTTTGTTTTTAGGAACATACTATAATGATCTACTATAAAGTCAAAATTCATTGTCCTAGGGAATTTTTCACAGCCCCCAATTAGAGGCAATAGTATAGACTGTGAAAGGCCTGGTTAGGTACTTACAGTAAAACTCCACTGAGACAAAACTCATTTGTCTGAACTGACTTAATCATAGAAAAGGAAAGTTGGAGAAAAACAAAAACGGCTATTCACCTCCAAATACCCATACCCTAATAATAAACCCAATAGGGTCTCAGGTATTTACTGAATCAATCGGTTTTCTGAGTCTACCAGGTCTAGGGAGTGGACTGTATAGGGTGTTCCTCTTCATCAGCGAGTCTGGTATCTGTGGGAGGGGCTTAGAGCAAGGGTGTGGAATGGTATACCAGGTCCTGAGATGGCTACGGCAGGGAGCACTGCAAGATACAGTGAAGTCAGCACAATGCAAGCAGACCACATGGGGCCAGTCTATGCAGCACACTACACATGGTGTTAACATGTGCAAGGCCAAGACTTACAAACATTTCCTCATGCACTCATGTGGATCTTCTAGCCCCCACGGGAACAGATGGAACACTGCGTACCAGTTCCACACACAGAAGCCTGGAAGCAGTGAGGCCAGCAGCTCCACACTAACATTTAAGAGGTATTGTTTCTGTGACTACAGTTTATACAAATAAGATCATTTACCTTCCTGTAGATGCTGTGGTTATCACAGGCAAAGTCTAGCCTCTCAAGATTTAAAGCACAGAGATCTGTGACCAGGGCTTAAGATATTTGAGAACTAGTGCCTACATTAAGTGACTAGGTAATAGTTTGAAAATTTATCTTAAAATCCATTGACCCCATTTATCTCTTTCCTCCTACCCCCTATCTTCCCATATCTATCTCTATTCTTCCTCCCCTATTCTGTGTGTGTGTGTGTGTGTGTGTGTGTGTGTGTGTGTGTGTGTGTATATATATATATATATATATATATATATATATATATATATAATGTCAGATTTACTTAATAAAGTGTATACTCCTTATGCTAAATTTAGAAAGGGGACAGTGAAAACTTTGTCCTATGGATGTATGGTTTTCCAAAGGAAAAAAGGTTCCTCAGTCTTAAAATGTGGCAAACACCATGTTCCTCCTGATAGCTACATGCCATAAAAAGTCAACTGAATCTTTAAAATTCAAAAGCTACAGAGATCTGCTTTCAAATACAGTCAAGTAGATCTTAAAGCAGGAACAAGAAAACCAGCTTTTTTAAGTTCTTCCCATCTGAAAACTAACAACAAGAGGTGACCATGACCTTCCTTAATTGTGCCCAAATTGGAAAAAGAGCAGGAATATTTTAAATACAAATGATGAGGATGTAATTCCACTGGTCCATTCCATTTAATTTTGCTTCTAAGGGTCTGTCTCACTTTAAACATTTACCTTTTATTTTCTTTTACCCACTCTAAGATGCTGAGATTCTAATGTTTTATTCCACCCACTACTAACCTTTTAATAAATAACACAAAAGAACATTTTAATTTGATTATGTATTTCCCATTAAAATATCTTAAAAAAAAAAAAAAAAAAAGAAAAGAGAGAGATAAGCTGATTCAGTTCATTTTTCTCACTAAACCCACTTTCCAAACTAAGTTGTTTATTTTAACAATAAAAGAACAAACATCTTGCCCAGCCGGTGATTGACCCAGGAACCAAAGGGTCACTGTCATTCGATTACTATTACTAGTCAGGGCACACGCCCGGGTTTCCAGGCTCAATTCCCAGTAGGGAGCATTCAGGAGGCAGCTCATCAATGATGTTTCTCTCCCCTTCAATCTCTCCTTTTCTCTCTAAAAAACAATAAAAAAGAAAAAACAAAGAATTCCATTATTCTTACAAAAAACAAAACAAAACAAAACAAACATCTTATCCTATTACCACCACCTGATAGGTCAGTATTATCAAATACAACAGGCCAAATATAGAAACTGTTAAAATTATTTAAAATTCCCAACCTAATTAAAAATGAATACCAAAGTCCAGATAGGGGGGGAGAGAAAGGGGGATAGTGGAAAAGCACACACACAACTCACCATTATCTTTATTTTCTTTCAAAAACCCATTAACAGCACATTTGAATTTTAAAACAGTGTCATCATCAGGCACCTGATGACCAATCGTATAAATTTTTAAGTAAGGAATTGTTTCTGGTAAGTCCTATAAGGCAAAACCATTAAAATGTATATTATTTTATTTTGCAGGGGAAGAATTAAAAAGTAATTAGAAGAGCCAAAATATAAATCAAGAAATTATAATAAACTTATTTTGGCAGTAATTCTGATAAAAGAACAATTTTTCCCAAAGCTGCTTCAACCAAGAAGTATCAGTAGATTTTCATTAGTCAATAGGTATACAACAATGAAAGCAAAATTCATGTGAATGAATGCATATGTAACTAAAAGTTATATAAATAATTCTACCTATTATTTTACATTTCAAGGACCATAAAGCAACTGTGATTTAAGTATTATTGAATCAGAAGACTTGGAATTAAATTGTTAGATTGAGGTAATTTCAAGCACGGTTGAGAACTGGATAGGAGAAAGTGGTACTGATTAAAACTCAGAGAAAGTTAAATGAAAACCTGCACTTCTGAACTTATAAGAAAAATATCAGTATGAACATGTGATGTATTATATTTTACATAAAGGTCAATTCCTGTTCGATTCTTGGTCAGGGCACATGCTGGGTTGTGAGTTTGATCCCTGGTAGGGGACATACAGGAGGGAGCCAATCCAAGATGTTTCTCTCTCACATCAATGATTTTTTTTTCTCTCTCTCCCTCCCTCCTCTCTCTCTAAAATCAATAAAAACTATTTTTTTTTAAAAGAAATACCATAGATTGTCCTGGTCAGTTTGGCTCAGTGGAAAAAGCGTCAACCTTTGGAATGAAGGGTCCCAGGTTCAATTCTGGTCAAGGTATGTACCTTAGTTGCGGGCACATCTCCAGTAGGAGGTGTGTAGGAGGCAGCTGATGGATGTTTCTCATTGATGTTTCTAACTCTATCCCTCTCCCTTCCTCTCTGTAAAAAATCAATAAAATATGTTAATAAATAAATAATAAATAAATAAAATACCATACATCCATCGCCAGTGTGGCTCAGTCAGTTGAGCACCATCCTGTGCACCAAGGGTGTCTCAGGTTGTATTCCTGGGCAGGGTACTTGCCTGGGCTTCAGGCTCAATCCCCAGTAGGGGGTGTGCAGGAGGCAGCCAATCTAAGTTTCTCTCTCTTCTCTTTCTCCAAAATCAATAAAAACATTTAAAACAACAACAAAACCATACAAACACATATCCTAACTGAAAAGCAAAGGAACAAATGTCATGACATGTCAAAATTGCAATGAAGTTCCTAATGAAACAAAACAAACAATTAAATAAATCTAATGGTCATGACTGAAAGATATTAGTGAATCAACTCATTATTTTAAAAACTATTGAAGAAGGAAGATTCATGTCTCTATAACTGGGCAATCAAATAGCTGATGAGGGAAAGCTTCTTTTGACAGAAACATACCCAGCTAATAAATGAAAAAAGAACAAGAGAATTCACCATTTTTGAAGCCCCAAATGAATTACTGGATATAGGTATCAATCATCAGTGACTGCTACTATAATATTACAGAAAGAGGCCATCACTTCTGTGCCTCCATGGAAGAACACATCATCACCTATGTAACTGTCTTACAAAGAATAAAAGCAAAAACAAAAAACCAAGCCTGAATCTGATCAAGCCTCTAGATCCAAATACCAATCTTCCTATATAATAAAAGGCTAATATGCAAACTGACAGAATGGCAGAATGACTGGTTGCTGACACATACTGACCACCAGGGGACAGATGCTCAACGCAGGAGCTGCCCCCTGGTGGTCAGTGTGCTCCCAGGGGGAGTGCCGCTGAGCCAGAAGCTGGGCTCACAGCTGGCGAGCGCAGTGGAGTGATGGGAGCCTCTCCCGCCTCCATGGCAGCTCTAAGGATGTCCTACTGCACAGGCTGGGCTGGTGGGCCCTCCCGAGTGCGTGAATTTTGTGTACCAGGCCTCTAGTTTAAAATAAACGCACTGGAGAATATTTTAACAATACCTGGAGACAGAATCATTAAAATCATGGGAGACAAACTACTAGTTTCTCCAAAACATAAAATTCAAGGTGGGGAATAAAGGAAAGTGAAGGAGACATGGAGGGAGAACCTAGAGATTAAATAAGACTTCAGAGACCTAAAAATCAACTGTAAAGTGTGAACCTTATTGAATCCAAGTCAAATTCTTAAAAACAATTTTTAATGAGATTGATAACTGTAAATCTGTATACAGACTGGATATTTCATATTAAAGAATATTAACGAATAAAGTCTTATATTTTAAATATACATGCCAAAAATGTACAAGGTAAAATACTGTATCTGGGATCTGCTTCAAAATAATATGGAAAGGAGAGAAACAAGTAGAAGTACAGATGAAACACAGTATTATGTCTACTGTTTAAAATTTATGATAATTATTTAAAAACAAGAAGACATTGTGGAAAACAGTCTGGCAAATTCTCAAAGGATAAACAGAACTACTAATTCCATTCCTATCTATCCATCTAAAAGATTTGGCAGCAGGGATTTGAACAAATATGTGTACACACATATTCATAGAAACATTGATTCATAATAGCCAAAGGTGGAAACAATCCAAGGGCCCATCAATAGAAGGACAGATAAACAAAATATGGTATATACACATATGGATTATTCCACCATCAAAAAGGAATGCCATTTTGTTACATGTTATACCATGGATGAACCTTGAAAACATTTAGTGGAATAATCCAGACACAGAAAGACAAATGTATGAACATTTATGTGAGATACCTAGAATAGGCGAATTCATAGAGACAGAAAATAGAAGAGGTTACTAGGGACTAAGGGGAGGGGAAATGAGGTTGTTATTGTTTAATGGTTCAGTGTGATGCCAATATAATAGCCTGGTTATTATTTGACAGAAAAGGAGGAAAGGGAAGACTAGATATAGGCATGCCATTTGCACAGCTTTGCCATAAAGCTACACTTAACATTCTCCAAGTCTGCTCCCTGCTGATCAATGGGGGGAGGGAGTGGACAAAGCAGTTTAGATGCATGCTCAGTAAAGTCTGAATGACATGGGAAGGTGCCTACGTGTCTGCCAGTCATACCTGGGAACAAATTAATGGCCAAGATGGGTGTGGCCACTTGCAAACTCAAAATACTTAAATATTTAAACTTCCAAAGGAAGTGTGTGATCTCTCCCTTACATCCGGGTCCTCTTAGGATTTCTGCTGCAGGGGGCTCCTGCTCCACACCACGGACTAATGGACCTGAATTAACTTGAATACTGAGCCACATCTGGCTGCAACATGAAATGGAAAATCTAATCACTGCTCTTGTTTCTGGCTCTGCTGGAACCCAGCTGCAGTCTTTCCAGGGCTGGCTTAAGGGGGCAAAGACTTTGGAACTCAAGAAATGTAACCTCATGCAAATGCATTCTTCCACATCAAACCCTTCCATGCAGATCTTAGAAAACCAATTTTCTGAAGTTATCATAAGAACCTCACTCCCACAAGTGACCTGGAAGTATGATTCTCTAGTAACAAGTGCTTTTGTTGAGATGAAAGTTTTGGTTATTGACAGTGGAGATGGTTATATACATTGTGAATGTATTTGATGCTACAAAATCTGTACATTTGTGAGTGGTTAAAATAAATATTATTTACATATTAATAAGAAAAAGGAATAATTTGAGTTCATTTTTCTTTTTCAACATCTTAGTGAAGTTCTCAATAAGAAATATCAGTACTACTACTACCTCATTAGCTGATGATTGATGTTTGGATTAACTAAATTAAAAGTATGTGAAAGTATTTTCCCAATATCTAATTGCTACACAAACATTAGCAAACATTAAGTGTTATTGTTTCCCAAGCCATGGAACTGGTCAAAGGGAGCATAAGTCTTTCTCACTGATAGGCCAAATGGACCAACAGAATATATGAGTTTCTATATTATATCAAGAGATTGTAGGAAAGAAAGTATACAACTCTGAGAACAACTTGTCTTTTACTGTGATGCTTACACATGCTCAAGCAACTGCTTAAAATAAAGGTTAACCCTAACCAGTTTGGCTCAGTGGATAGAGCATCGGCCTACGGACTGGAGGGTCCCAGATTCGATTCTGGTCAAGGGCATGCACCTTGGTTGTGGACACATCCCCAGTAGGGGGTATGCAGGAGGCAGCTGATCGATGTTTCTCTCTCATTGATGTTTCTAACACTATTCTTCTCCCTTTCTCTCTATAAAAAATCAATCAAATATATTTTAAAAAAATATATTTTATTGATTTTCCACAGAGAGGAAGGGAGAGGGATAGAGAGCTAGAAACCTTTATGAGAGCGAAATATTGACTAGCTGCCTCTTGCACACTGCCTACCGGAGATGTGCCCACAACCAATGTACGTGCCCTTGATCGAAATCGAACCTGGGACCTTTCAGTCTGCAGACCGACACTCTGTTCACTGAGCCAAACGGGTTTCAGCAGTAAAATACATTTTTTTAAAAAATCAATAAAATATATTAAAATATATAAAATATATTAAATCAAGACATAATGAACATTCCTCTCTTTTCTTTTAAGGCTTCTACTATTCTTTGAAAAGTTTACTTTCTTTTCAAAATATAGAACATGATCGCTTATAGAATTTCTTAATCACAGTCTACTGCCAAATATTAGTTTAATTCACGTCTTTCATCTCATTTTGAGATAGCAATTAGGAATGTTTAATTAAGGAAACCAGTTGGTTTCCTTTTTCAATTACTACCCATGAAAGAAGGCATGGATTCACCTTGGCATAAGGTGATAACTACTAATTACTATGAACTATTACAGAATCAGAAAAGAAGGTTCTTTTCAAGTTACCTCTGGTTTATAATAGCGTTGAGTATATGTTAAATCAATAATCAGTCCAAGTTCTTCATTTCGTTCTTGGATTTTGTTAAAAAGGTCCAAGGGGGAAAAGCGTTCTTCTGGAGCAAGTTTCTCTTCAAAACTCTGTCAGAGAGAATAAAATAACAAACAGCAAAGGGTATTTAAAATTCTGTATTATATCACCCATTTATCTAAGTCCTGTGCTGCTGATCCTAGCTAATAAAGAGGGAATATGCTATTGGACCCTCGCGCTGTTGCAAAGATGGGGGCGCCCACAGCCAATAAGGAGAGAATATGCTAACTGATGGCCACCCCCTCAAAGATGGCAGTGCTCAGTCCCCTCAGCCCTGCCTTGCCCCTGCCTCTGGAGTCCCTCAGTTCTCTCAGCCCCCCAGCCAACCAGGGCTGCCTCAGATGACAGCTGCCCAGCTGCCCAGGGCCACCCGAGGTTCAGATAACCAGGGCCAGTTGAGGCTTGTGCTGCCAGCAGTGGCAGCAGCAGAGAAGTGATGGGGCGTCATCTTCCCCTGATCACTGGGTTGCCTCCCTCCCCTGAGGGCTCCCAAATTGAGAGAGGGGGCAGGCCGGGCTGAAGGACACCCCAACCCCCACCCTGCATGAATTTCCATGAACCGGGCCTCTAGTATACAATAAGATTCAAAGGAAAGTTTTCACGTTTCTGCAATTTACAAGCAATATTACAATCCTTTCTTCCAGACAGACTAGAGGTGAGAAGATAAGCTCCTATTTATATATATTTACTTCTGTGTTTGTTTCATGTTGGTCTCCTAACCAGACTATAGAACTCCCAGAAGGCCGGGACCACATCAATTTTGTCCCATGTATCTCAGCTCCAAGTGAAGTGCCTATAAAGAAGCACTTATGGCCGAAACCGGTTTGGCTCAGTGGATAGAGCGTCAGTCTGCGGACTGAAAGGTCCCAGGTTTGATTCTGGTCAAGGGCATGTACCTTGGTTGCAGGCACATCCCAGTAGGGGGTGTGGAAGAGGCAGGTGATCAATGATTCTCTCTATGGGTGTTTCTAACTCTCTATCCCTATCTCTTCCTCTCTGTAAAAAAATCAATAAAATATATATATTTTTTTAAAAAGAGGCACTTATGATAGTTCTTAAATGTGTATATGAAGAAAGACTTTAATTGCTAAATAGTCTTTATGTATTTGGCTTATTTGTATCTTCTGTTCCACAGATCTTATTGGTTATTCAAGTGCCAACAGTAGAGGGAGATGTGTATGTGTGTGTTTTTTAATAAATACATGCGTTGCCGAAACCGGTTTGGCTCAGTGGATAGAGCGTCGGCCTGCGGACTGAAGGATCCCGGGTTCGATTCCGGTCAAGGGCATGTACCTTGGTTTCGGGCACATCCCTAGTAGGGGGTGTGCAAGAGGCAGCTGATTGATGATTCTCTCTCATCAATGTTTCTGACTATCCCTCTCTCTTCCTCTCTGTGAAAAATCAATAAAATATATTAAAAAATAATAAAATAAATAAATACATGTGTTTTTAGTGCACACTTAGGTTCAGTAAAACTGAGCAGAAAGTAAAGAGATCTCACTTAAACTCTCTCTCCTTCACCCCACACAGCCTTCCCAAACATCAACATTCCGTATCAGTGTAGTACATTTGTTAGAATCAATCATGACACATCATTACCAATTACTGTCTATATTTCCCATTGAGTGACTCTGCATTGTAATTCTATGGGTTTTAACCGATTTAAAAAAAAAAAAAAAAAAAAAAAAAAAAAAAAAAAACTCACCCAACGGTATTTTTAGAGAAAAGGGGGGAAAAGAGGGAGAGAAAGAAAGAATGATTCTAAGAGAAACATGAATCAGTTGCCCCCGACCAAGGATCAAATCTGCAACCGAGGTATGTGTCCTAACCAGGAATTGGACCCACAACCTTTTGTTGTACTGGACAATACTCCAACCAATTGAGCCACTCAGCAAGGTCTGGGTTTAAGCAATTTGTAAGGACATGTATTTACCCTTACTGTGTCATACAGAATAGTTACACTAACCTAAAAACCTCCTGTACTTAAATACAAGTAGGGCTAGAAGATCCCCCTCCGCCATTATTATTCTTTTGAGGAATTTTCCTGGCTACTTAAGCGTATATAGAAAAATACCATTTGAGATGAAGTTAAGTTCATCTTTATGAAAGAATGTAGAAAGATTTAAATGATTTATGATGTCGAGTCCTCCAACATAATATTATAAAAGTTTTAAAGACTAAATTAATTACAAGGCATAGAATTTCTCCTGTTTCTTGAAGATCTGGAGCTGATGGATCAATCATCATCTCCAGGTATCTGAGCAATAACTAAGTCACAACCTTTTAGGAAGTCTTCCTGATTAACCCTGTTATCATTTCCCAATCTTTTGAATTCCTTGCTATTTCTGGCCAGACCATTTGACACTTAACATATTCTATTTTATATTCCAGAGTGCTTAACAAGTGATTATCAAGTATGGAGGTGACTTTTCCTTAGGTGAATTCCATAACACACAGGAAACCAATGTCACATTTGACTTCTACACAGGAGTAATGCATCTCCCTAATCCTACAACATGAATAGGTTAGACTGCCCTGGGAGTAGTTATACAGCTTTGTGGTGTCTTAATCCCAATACTGAATGAAATCACTTAAATACACAGAGCTGAAAGAGGCTTTTTATAATGACATCATATGAGTTACAAATTAAATAAATTCCCAATACATTTAAAGTAGATTTTTTCTAAAACACACACACACACACACACACACACACACACACACACACACACACACAAACAGAAAAATAAAGTGGACTTTTTCTGATGCTAATCCATGCTATGCTGGGCAGTTTAATGAGACATGGAATTTCTTCTCACCATTTTTTAATAGGTCAAATGCTTTCCCTATCTATTCCTTTCTTAGGTCAAAGAAAAATACAATTTTCAGCCCTGGCTGGTGTGGCTCAGCTGGTTGGAGCGTCATCCCTACACCTAAAGGAAGGAAACTATTCCATGTTCTCTCTCACATCAGTGCTTCTCTCTCCCTTTCCCACTCTCCTCAATGGAAAAAACAACAAACAAAAACAGTTTTCAAAATTTCCATGCTGACCCAGGACATTTTGTTGGTTGTGATGATGGGAGCAAAGGGTCTTAATGGTATGTAGTGGGTAGAATCATGGAGTTAGATATCTTGTCAAACTCAGAGAACAGTCCTACAAGTGTGGCTCATACCTGAATGTCTCTTGAATTCCCTACTCAACATTCATATAAGTAAAAAAATTATTCATAATTATCAAAGCCTTAGAAATGAACTTCATTTCACAAAAAAACACAAAGAGTTTTAACCTGTTAACAGAGCGGGACATATAAATACGTCAAACGTAAACAATATCAGGTACGGGTAGGACGTATGAATACGTCCTTGAAATATATGTTGCACCCTGAAACGGGCGGGACGTATATTTCCGAACAACAAAGATATTAGTCATCAATACATGTCTCGACATGAATTTAAGACATGGAGGGAATCAGTATAATTTCCCTATTGAGAGTGGTGGACGTGTTCTGGGTGAGCAGTGACGGGTACGTACTTACACTTACCTACCTATTTTCGTATTATATATTATTTACTTACATTTTTTATATCTCCAACCTTTATATAATAAAAAAATATATAAAATTGATCCAATCATCAATAATTTGTCAGAAAAGTTTAAAAGTTTTTATGTTGTGAATGAGAAATATGCGTAGATGAATCTCTTTTATTATGGAAAGGGAATATATCTTGAAAACAATATATATCTACAAAAAGAGCTAGATTTGGAATGAAGTTGTTTATTTTGAGTGAAAGCCAATCTGGATACGTACAAAATATAATTTTATACACAAGCAAAGACACAAATTATGGTTCGAACTACCCACAAGAAAAACAATCAACAAGAATTGTTTTAGAGTTAACACATGACTTACTGAATAAAGGGTATAGGACTTACTTAAATAATTTCTATACGTCAATTCATTTGGCTGAACTCTTGTGTCAAAACAATACAGACATTGTTGGAACAATGAGGATAAACAGAGTCGGAATCCCCAGTGAAATAAAAACAAAAAAAATTACAGAAAAATGAACATATGTAAGAATCAAAGACAAACTTAAGGTTTTAAAATGGAAGGATAAAAAAGACGTATTGATGCTCAGTTCTATTCATAATGATGAAAAGACAATGATTGAAAAGAGAGGAAGAAGGCAAGAAAAACCGAATGGTGTCTGGATTATAACAAGAATATGGGCAGCATAGATCTGGGAGATGGAGTTATGGTGGCCCACACGGCTGCCCGTAATAGGGTAAAAAAATTTTAAATTTTTTTCTACAATTAATTGATATGTGCTGCTTCAATGCATATATTATATACAAAAAAGATAAAGGTCATTTAGATCGATTACACTTTTTGATAGAGTGTGTAGAGAAATTGGTAGATAACAACATAGTGAAAACCCACCAAAGACATCAACAAGCAGCTCTTCATCTAAACCATCACGCTTAGTTGAAAGGCATTTTCCAGAACAAATGAAAAGCGATATAGGAAAAACTAAATCCAGGAAATGCCGAGTTTGCTACAAAAAAGGTGTTAGGAAAGAATCTACATACTGGTGTCCGGATTGAAAGGTAGCACTATGTATCAACAATTGTTTTAAAATATATCACACGGAAGTTGAGTTTTAAATTTTTACATCTATATTTCAATTTTTTAAACTCAATATTTCTATTTTATTTGTGTGCTGTTGTTTATTGTTCTGTAATTGTTAACTTTTTTATATTTTTTATTGTGTATAGAAATAAAAATACATATTTTTTGTAATCGTTATAATTGTTTGTAAAATTTATAATTTTTTAATTCGATGTTTCCATTTTTTTGTTGGTATTCTTTTCTATTTGTTTGTAATTTTGTATTTTCCTTTGTGCTTTATATATAAATAAACTAAAAAATATATATTTCATTTATTTTAATTAAGTATAAATAAAAAATAATAATATAAAATTACGTCCACTGGGCGTGACGTACTGACACGTCCTAGTGAAAGAGTATGCGCCCGTTATATGTTGCGTAATTAAAAAGGGAACTCCCGGTTAACAGGTTAATGTACATTGAACTTTCCAGGATAATAATCACCTTATTAACCAAGTGAAGGATGAACTTGGTTTTATTTGGAAATCTACTAAGAGTTGTTCACTGTCAAGGAAACCCACCTAACTGAGTCTGCATTTGCAATTTTTGCATTCATGGAGCAAGTAACTGATTATTTCTCTATTTCTAATATAGTTACGCCTAAATATTTACATATTGAAATATACATTACTTAATTGTAAATTCTTTTATTTCTTCCTTGTATTATAGTTATTGCACTGATTTTTATTTACTTATTTTTTTTATTTTGAAGGAATATTTAATATTAACATTGTGAGTTATTATCTTTTGCATATCAAAGTTACATTTCAAACAAATGTAACTTTGTTTGTCATTTATATTTACAGTATACAAATGCAAAGCACTAATTTCCCACTAAATCATCACTTCCTTAAAATGGTACATGTGATGTTATGAAATTAGCTATTAAGTATTCAAAATAGTGAGAGGTCCTTTTTTGTCTTTTTTTTTTTTTTTTAAATATATTTTATTGATTTTTTTTTTGCCCCCCTCCCTCCCCCCCATTCCCTCCCTCCCCAGAGTTTTATGTCCATTGGTTGTACTTAAATGCATGCATAAAAGTCCTTCGGTTGATCTATTATCTCCCCCAGATCTTTCTCCCCTCCCCGCTGTAATTTGACAGTCTGCTTGTTGATATACTGTCTCTATATCTATCTTTTGGTTCATCAGTTTATAATGTTCTTTATTATCCACAAATGAGTGAGGTCATGTGGTGTTTTTCTTTCATTGACTGGCTTATTTCACTCAGCATGATGTTCTCCAGTTCCATCCAGGTTGCTGCAAATGATGAGAATTCCTTCTTTTTTATGGCAGCATAGTATTCCATTGTGTAGCTGTACCATGGCTTTTTGATCCAATCATCTGCTGACGGGCACCTAGGCTGTTTCCAAATTCTAGCTATTGTAGATTGTGCTGCTATGAACATAGGGGTGCATATATCCTTTCTGATTGATGTTTCTAGTTTCTTGGGATATATTCCTAGGAGTGGGATTACTGGGTCAAATGGGAGTTCCATTTTCAGTTTTTTGAGGAAACTCCACACTGTTCTCCATAGTGGTTGCACCAGTCTGCATTCCCACCAGCAAGTTATTGCACTGATTTTTAAAAAAATATTTTATTGATTTTTTTTTAGAGAGAAAGAGAGAGGGATAGAGTTAAAAACATTGATGAGAATCATCGTTCAGCTGGGGATGTGCCCGCAACTAAGGTACATGTCTTTGACCGGAATCGAACCTAGGATCTTTCAGTCCGCAGGCTGACACTCTACCCACTGAGCCAAACCGGTTTCGGCTGATTTTTTTTTTAATTAAGTATGGAAGTGGCTTGTATTTATTAGTATCTATGAATTTCAGTATAATAAAAGGCAAAATACAAAGTTTACACTATAAAAAGAGAAAATGGAGTGTGATGGAATGGAGAATCACTGTCCTAAATGGTGAATTCAGAATTTTAAAAAAATATTGAATTAATTAATTATACACCGTAAGTGTCTGTGGACACAAATGCCGGACCTTCCCCACATGCCACACACGTCTATAAAAAATGGGTGTTTTTTTTAGTGGCAGCCCTGTCCAACTTTAAAATAATTTTTTGTGAAAATTTTCAGCTTAAAATATTCAAGAACACCCAAATTGTGAGTAAAATATTTTTTTAATAATATTCTTTGCAAATTTATTTTTTAAATTAAATTCAAAATATCATGGCATGTGGGGATGGTTTCCATTTTGGTCACATGGCAGTTAACTGGTTAATTTTTGCTTACCTTTTTCAAAGGTACTTTGAAAGCAATGAAACGCGTCCCAGGCATCCTCTGTCCAAGAGGGAGATAGTCTTGCCACCTGTTAATACATCTGTGTTAGCCAAATTCTCTTAGCCTTTCTCCCAGCACAGAATGAGGACGCCTCAGTCCCCTCTTCCCTTTGCTTTGCCGCTCCACTTATTCATCCCAACCCAGTTACCTATATTTCCCCTCTTCCTATTTCCCCATCTTGAAAAAATGTACAAGGCACCAAATAGCGCAAAGAGCTCAACAAATGAGGAATACCTAACACCAGAGATTGCGAGAACTTCTATATCCCTGGTAAAACCCAGCCTGGTCCTGAATACTAAGGTGGTATCTACATTAATAAAAGAAAACTATACAATTTAAACATACCTCCGAGACGCTCACCAACCAACCAGGAGTGGGTATGCAAATTAACCCAGCAAAGACGGGTTCATTTGCAGGTGCAGAGCCACTGGGTGCAGGGTGGCCACTTGTGAGCACACCAGCACCAAGCGGCCTGCCTGTCCTCAGGAGCCAGGCCACTCTGAGCCTGTAGGCCTGCGAATAGGCAGGGAGCGGCTGGGGTCCTGGACCGACCCCCTGGCCACTCGGGGCCTATGCACACAGGGGCAGAGCAGCCAGGGGCAGGGCAGGAACATCCCCTGCAAAAAGCGAGCAGACAGCAAGGCCCTGCTTGCCCCTGGCCATGGCAGCAAGGGTCGAGTCCCCTGAAGGGCCCCCACAGGGAGCAGACACCAGGGCCTGCGGTGGCATCAAGCAGGCAGGTCCACAGAGAGCAGAGAACCACGGGGAGCAGGCCTAAGCCATCAGTAGGACATCCCCTGAGGGCTCCCAGGTTGGAGAGGATGCAGGTCAGGCTGAGGGTCACCCAGCCACCTACCCCCTTCCACCCCCCACCCCCCCCCGTACGAATTTTGTGCACCGGGCTCCTAGTAAATACTTAACTGAAATAGTTTAAACTCAATTCTTTCACTTTTTCAATTCTTTCACAGTTTACTTTTTTTTTTTTTTTTAATATATTTTATTGATTATTTACAGAGAGGAAGGGAGAGAGATAGAGAGCTGGAAACATCGATGAGAGAGAAACACCGACCAGCTGCTTCTTGCACACCCCCCACCGGGGATGTGCCTGCAACCAAGGTACATGCCTTTGACCGGAATAGAACCTGGGATCTTTCAGTCTGCAGACCGACACTCTACCACTGAGCCAAACCAGTTTCAGCTCAGTTTACTTTTATTCCTCATACAACTGATGTCATAATGGATCAGTAGGGAACTTCGAGTTCACGTGGTAAAAAGAAAACCCAATAGGACAGTGACACTTAACTTCACTTAATAATGCTAGGAGTCACAGTGAGAAATAATATTTGAGCTGACTTCTGTCTGATGAGTTAGAATGAGCTCAAGTTGATTCAGTATATCTAAAGCTCTGGAAGTGAGGGCAAAAGTTGTACAAATGGGGGCTGGAGAACCAGACTGCATTCTAGAGAGTACAGTTTTAAAGGTTAAGGTAAAGAGTTGTTTTTTCTTGAAACATAATTTTGAGTAAGTGATGTTTATAAGCAATGTTCCAATTTGCCTATTAAAAAGATTTGCTGTGTGAAGAATGGACTCGGCTCTGACTGGTTTGGCTCAGTGGATAGAGTCAACCTTCGGACTCAAGGGTCCCAGGTTCGATTCCAGTCAAGGGCATGTACCTTGGTTGCGGGCACATCCCCAGTAGGGGACGTGCAGGAGGCAGCTGGTCGATGTTTCTCTCTCATCGATGTTTCTAACTATCTCTATCCCTCTCCTTTCCTCTCTGTAAAAAAATCAATAAAAAAAAATTTTTTTTTTTTAAATGAATGGACTGGAAGGAAACAAGAGTAGATGGATATACTTCTAATAATGAGGACTTAACTGACATCGAGGACCTAACAGGCAAGTTCTGTATTAGGATGCTGATGGAGAGAAACTGGAATATTCCAGTATTTCGGAGATAAAATGAAGGGGACTTAATGAGGTATGAGGGGGAAGACAGGAAGGTGTGAAGGAGTGAAGAAAGGTTCGCTATATTTAAAATAAGCAAAGGCTCAACATTAATCATTTGAACCTATAGAAAAATGAGCCTATTAGGAAGCAACAGTACACTTTTTACTTTTTCGGTTAAAAGTTCAACGATACTGGTGGGTTTTAAACTCAAACTTAATAATTAGTACATTTTCTGTGTCAACTTCTGGAATGCCACAACTTCTGGAATTAAGGGGGTGGGGGGCTCTATTTTGGTAATTAATGAGTATCCCCAAAACTGACAGCCCCATCTTCAAAAGCAATCCTTTGATTTTCATTTCACCTGAAAGGGCAATGGGCAGGGCCTCGCTTTTCTATGTTTTTTTCCTTTTAATTTCTTTAAAATGTATTTTTATTGAGAGTATTACAGATGTAAACCCAGCCTCCTGGCAGAACCCAGCTTTTAAAAGAATGGGGGTGCCGAAACTGGTTTGGCTCAGTGGATAGAACGTCGGCCTGCGGACTGAAAGGTCCCAGATTCGTTTCTGGTCAGGGGCCTCGGTTGCCGGCACATCCCCAGTGGGGAGTGTGCAAGAGGCAGCTTGTCGATGATTCTCTCTCATCGATGTTTCTCACTCTCTATCCCTCTCTCTTCCTCTCTGTAAAAAATCAGTAATATATATATATATATATTTTTTAAATAAAAGGATGGGAACCCAGCCAGTGTGGCTCAGTGGTTGAGCCTTGACCTATAAACCAGGTCAGGGTTAGATTCCAAAGGTTAGATTCCCTGTCAGGCACATGCCCAGGTTGCTGGCTTAATGCCCAATGGGGGGCGTCCAGGAGGCCGCTAATGATTCTCATCATTGATGTTTCTATCTCTTCCCCTCTCCCTTACCCTCTCCATCCCCCTTCCCCTCTGAAATCAACAAAAAAATATAGAAAAGTCAGAAACACAGACGGTCCCTTTCCACTCCTGCCGGTCCCTTTCCACTCCTGCCGGCGGGGCACCGACAGGATCAAAGCCTCAAGCAAAGGACAGGCCCAGCGCGCGGCGGGGCAGACGGGCAGAGGCCGGAGAGAGGAAGCCCCGGCCGGGGGGCCGGGGTCCGGGAGGGCCAGGCCCAGGGGCCACGCCACCTTACCTCTCGGGGATGTGGTTCCCGCCCTTCTTCTTGCCCGGAGCCTTCGGCGAAGGACGTCCAGAAAAGGCGCGCCCCCGGCCCCGGCCGCGGTCCGCACGATGCCATTGGCTCATGTGGACCCCAAGACACCGCCCGCGCAACGCCGACAGCGCCCGCAGCTCCGTGGCCCCAAAACCGGACCCTCCGCCGGAAGCTCCCGCCGGGGCACTGCGCAGGCACCGCCCACCGGGCTCCAGGCTAGCGCGCACGCGCCGCCGCCCGCGGTGATGACGTCACGCGCAGGCGGACTGGAAAGCGGGGCCAGTCACCAGGGCCCTAGTGGCGGTGGCGCCCTCCTTAGGCGGCGGCCGGTAGCACAGGCCCATGAGTCCGTGTACAGACCCTTCAGAGCTCAGTGCTGCAGCCCCTGGAGAGAGAAGCTGAGTCCCACCCGCCCAGGTCCCAGCGCGGTCCTTCCGCATGTTCTCCAAGTGCTGACATTCACACTTACTGTACAGTGTAAATAAATATCTATTAATTCAAAGATGGATGCCCTTTATTTTATACAAAATCACACACAATATACATTCTACAGTATATCTACAAAAAGATTATTTCAGGTCCATTTATGTGTACATACATTCTATTATTTTTAAATGGCTGCATAGTATTGCACTGATTGTGGGCACCATAATTTCTATTACCAGTCCAGTACTGATGGACTTTCCGTTGGTTGCAGTTATTTTGCCCTCCATTAACAGGCTGCAATGCAAACATCCTTAAACACGTATAGAATTATCTTTAAATTCCTAGAAGTAGGATTTCTGGGATGAAGGATATGCAAACTTAAAATTTTGAAAAATATGGCTTAATTGCCCTCCAAATATAAAGTGTTAACCTACATCCCATTCACAATGAAACTTTTATTGGGTTCCTGTCATATGCCAGGTAGTACATATTTACATTTTTAGAAAATAGCAAAATATAATAGGCAGGAGTGGAACTCAAGTCTAAGATTTCCATACACTATCAGGCATAGAGACCTGTATCTGATACAAAAACTCTCAAATCAGCTGTGAGTTGAAACAAAAAGGACCTCATGTGCTAGGTATTCTGAAGGCTAAACCGAATACCATATTTCAGATTAAACTGTAAGTAATTGTAACAGCAAATGTCTTCTGTTTTTAATTTTTAGTTTCTAATTTTCTAAATACCTTATATACAATGTTACTAATATAACAATTTCAGATCTGGGTAAGCTGAGTATCAGAATGGTCAGTAATTGAATGAATGAATGAATGAATGAATGAGTAAAAAGATCACTAGTTTAAAATATATATTTCAGAGAGGAAGACTGAGGCAGAGATAAAAACATCAATGATGAGAGAGAATAATTGATTGGTGGTCTCCTACATGCACCCCACTGGGGATCAAGCTGACACCCAAGCATGTGCTCAGACCAGGGATTGAACCATGACCTTATGGTTCATAGATTGACATTCAACCACTCAGTCATGCTGGTCGGGCAAAAGATTACTACTTTTAATATTTCTGGAACAATCATACTATTCAAGTTTATATTGGTTAGTATTTACAATTCTAAAAATTATCACAAAATTTAAAATAGGTTAAAATTAGTAAATTGCTGTTTGAAAAAGATATATGAGTTAGCACAGCACAGTTTACAAAGGTACAATTAGTCACATTCAAATTCGATACAAAAACATGAAATATTATTTTGGAATTTATGAAAAATATATACAACAAGCCTGTAGTGGCCAAAAAAAGTATGATTGATACAAATACCTACAGGATTGACATAAGTCTATCAGAAGCTAGAAAAACAATATTGGTCTTATACTTCCAATTTGTTACAAGACACAAACTTGAGATGGGAACAGGGCACAAATTTGGTTATGCGACACAAGAAACTCCAGAC